CTGGGCTAGGACTGGGTCTGGGGGCTCCCGGAACTCGGCAGAAAATCCTACTCGGCAGGCGGGGTGGGGGAGGCACTGCGGAGTGGTGGGGGGGCGGCCCAAGGGGCTGGGAGAGGGTCCGGCCCCCTCTGCGCCTGGGCTGGGACTGGTCCCGCCAGCGCAGGGTAGCAGGAAGCTCTCCGCACACTCACCGAACCTGGGCTAGGACTGGCTTAAAGAATTTATTGCTTGAGAAACACAGAACAGAAAACCACAATATAGCTAAAAAGAAAAATACTCCAAAATGATCCAGGGTTGTTAAAGAAACGTTTATAGGCATTACAGGTATCTGTTTTTTCTTAAACTTTTCTGATGGGGATTAGGATGAGGGGCCTCTGAATAAGGACAACAGCATGGGATTTTTCAAGTCTCTGTTCCCTTACTTCACAAATAACAGCTAGCCACATGACAACTGAACCAAGATAAGAAGCATCAAGAAATCATCCCTGAGCAGGAAAGCAGCCCTTTTACCTGGATAAAGACAGGATATAAACTATTACTAACTGCTCTAAGGTAGGCACTTAAATTCACTGTGGCAGGTCCTAGCACATGACAGAAATGAGCTGATTTTTTCTGTGGTGTAGGAAAAAAAACAATCATGAGCATTTGGAAAAGCTAAAATACATGCAAACCAGCTGTATGGCCTTTGAGGCTGGAATGTCTGACTTCAGCAAGCATGGTTGAGTCACTTGATGGCACCATAGTACAAAGGCAATTTATATACTTCTAAAACTGGCAAGGAGAAGCAAAGTTCTATCTAATCTACTACTTTCTTAGTATCATTTTTACGTGGGTGTGAGTTTCTCACAAGTTATCTCTCTCTAGCAAAAACTAAAAAGGTTTGGCAAAACATACAACTGAGGCAACTGAAGGGAAAAAGGACCCACAATTTTCTCCACCCTTTAGTCTAGATGGTGGAGTCAAAGTTTATGTGCAGGCTGAAAGCTCTCTTCATTTCTGCAGAAAATGGTTCAACTGCTTCTGCAGGGAAGTTATCTGATCATTTTTTTGTTTTTCCTGTACCTTAAGATTCTCCAGCACAGACTCCAAATGATTCTTGAGGGTCAGATTTTCCACTTTTCTGATAATATTCTTCTGTCTTTGTGCTTTGTTCTGAATCTCTTGGAGCTTTTTCTCCTTGTAATGAATATGTTTCTGTATTTCCCTAACTATTGAACTGGCACCTTCCTTCGTCTCATGCAGGCAATATTCAATGATGTTGGCCTGTAGCTTCCTTTCTAGAGTCTCTTCAAAATCATCCTCTTCTTCATCCTCTTCTTCCCCTTCATCCTCCTCATCTTCCTCCTCTCCCTCCTCTTCCTCTTCCTTCTCCTCCTCGTTATCTTGAGTGTTGCTATTAGAATCACTGAGCATCTCTCGAAGCACATCATGCTCTGATGAGGTATCACCTTGTTTATAACCACTCACTCCTGGGGACACCGGTAAGCTTGCAACGAAGCCCTGACTCTCTATTTCCTTGGTTTCATCATCAGCAATGACTTCCCATCGGATGCCGACAGCTTCAGAATCTGAACATAGCAATCTCTTCAATTCCTTTTCCACACCTGGAGACTCAATGTCCTTTTTCTTTGTCTTCCGGAACCTTTTCTTTCTGACATTCTTAAGTGGTGGAGTAATTCCATGCTTCCAGATATAGATTCTCTCCATCTCTATTCTGGTTGCATTAAGATAAGTAGAGACAACTGGTTCTTCAAAAGAAGAGTGGATGTTACCATCGGCACTGCACACTAGCATCTGGGAAATATCTGCTGTTTTGTAAAAGCTTTTTTTATCAAACGTTTTTAGACTTCCAACAACACAAGGCAAATCGACCAGCTTAGCAGGAAGTGAGACATCTTCTACCTCAACAACTGCATGGCGTCCATCAGAAGATAAGTCAATTTTTATTTTATCCTTCAAGGTGACACTTCCAGAGTGTATTATAGTCCTGACAGCAGAAGCATGTTCTGGAGGCAGGCGCAATATAAACTGGTTTTCAAGTTCGTAAGGAAGTTCATTTTGGCTTTTACTCATGTCAGTTCCTCTACCACCTTGCTCCAAAAGACTGCAAACAATCCTAACAAAGAAGTGGTTTAACTATGGCTACACCCTAGGAATAAAGAAACAGAGGAAGCAGATCAGTCCTCAAGAAGAAAAATATCATTCCCAACCATCATGGAGAGCAGACTGACCCTGGACATCTATGGGGCCCTTGTGAGCCCTGCCCCGCCACCCCCAACATTACAAGTGGTTTGCTGACCTGAACGTATACCCACCACCACAGAAGCTGTGGTCAATCCTACCCTGCACCCCTCACATTGTGAGAGCCTTGGGGAGCACTGCCCTGCCCCCATCATTGTTTAAGTCTTCCTGAGCAGGCGCTTAACTCCCTACCCTCCACCCACCATGGCAGAAGCCATGCTGAACCCCGGACAGCAAGAGCTATGGTAAGCCTGCGCTGCACCCCCACTGTAGCAGGAGCCTTGCTGACCTGTGCCCCACACCCCTACTGTCACTGCTGAGTCTGGGTGAACACTGGGAGCTTCAAAAACCTCAAAATGAAGGAGCAATAAGGGAATCTCAAGCCTGCATCTTAATCAGAATAAGTCCAGAAGACAAGGACATAGAAGAACTTAGAAGTCAAAAACCTAAAATTTCTGAAATGACAGAAACTGAAGCAAAGGAAACTCCATAAGGCTGTAGAAGAAATCACATCAGAAATAATCTCTCAGGTTAAAAAGAAAAATGACAACAATCATGAAAGAATTGCTCAGCACATCTAGCACATCTAAAGAAGACATAGATTAAAAAAAAAAAAAAAGGATACGGTTGGCCAGATAGCTCGGTAGATTAAAGTGCCTGCTTAGGCAGATCCAGGGGCCTGGGTTCCATCCCCGGCTCGCCATGCTGGCCCCACCCCCAGGGCACACTGAGATGACCACTGAGACTGCACGTGATGGTGTGCACCTGTAATCCCAGCACTTGGGAGGCTGAAACACAGGAAGGATCACTACAAATCCAATCTGTGTAATGAGACCCTGTTATGGTTTATATCTAGTTGTCCCCTCAAAGCCTCATGCAGTCATGGGGTGGGGACTTCTAGAGTTTGTGATTAACTCATGATCCACTGGGATTATGTGTGATCCAAGGCTGGGATTATGGGTTTTAGTACTGCTGGGATTATAAGTGTGAGTACTTCCCCTAGCCTGGGGCAGAGAAACTGAATGTAATATAAGAGACAGAGAGGCAGACTTTCTGTAGCCATTGCTTCTTGTTGTTGCTGTTGTTCGGCCGCCATGAAGTGCTGCTCTCTGCCATGTGCTGCTCTGCCTGGACTCAGCTGAATATGGACAGAAACCTCCAGTAACTGAACTAAATAAACCTTTCCTTCCTTCATTTTGGATGTCGAGTATTTGTCCCAGCAATGAGAGAAGAGTAACTAAGACAGAATTTGGTACTGGAGTGGGGTCACTGCTGTGACTAACCTGACCATGTGGATTACAAGTTTTTGGGAATGGTTGATGGGAAGAGATAGGAAAGGTTTGGAGAAATCCTCTACTTGCAAAGATCTGGAACAGCTTAGGCTGTTTTGATTTGGGAGATTCTGGTCAGAGCTCAGACCAGAAGACTGACAGAAAGCCTGCCTGCAAAGACCAGGCTAGGGAGGTTTCTGCTAGGAAGGACTGCATTGGTTTTTGGACTCCAGATGATTTGTGTTATAGATTGGCCCAAAGTCTATCTGAATTTTGCTCAAAGTCCAGAGACTTTGCCTGAGACTGAGATTAAGCACAGCGAACTGATTAATCTTTCAAAAGATATTTCAAAGCAGGCAAATATTGGTTCAGTAGCATGGCTGTTATTGGTGGCTTTAGCCAGATTTGAAAATCAAGAGAAAAGAGACAAGCAAGATGATTTAAAATGTTGTGAGTCTGGCCAGAAAGGAAGCACCAGGAAAGCTGTGGAATGCTAAGACAGAGCTGAGAGGATCTTCAAGGCCAAGAAGGAAGCAGAGAATGGAAAGGAAGGCCTAAGGGCATCACAGGAGGCAGCCGGTTTCTACCCTTTGCAGTCTTAAAACTGCAAAAGTCAAGGACTCTGTGTTGAGGAAAAAGCCGCAGAGCCCCATGTTCCAGAATGACAGCAGTGGCCACACCAGATTCCAAAGTGGCACCTGCATGGAGAATTTGTTTCTCAGAATCAGGGTCAGAGTGTTTATCAATCAAGGCACTCGACCCCTACAACCAAGAGAGAAGGAAGCCTGGCTGGCTACTCCTTCAGCTGGCGGCAGACTTTGACGTCATCCATGTGGCAGTGGTTTTACGTGCATGCAGAATGCAGGAGTTGTGAGGTTAAGACAGCTTCCACCTCAATTTCAGAAGGCCTGGGAGGTCAGGCAGTGTGCCCCTGGGAGGGCATTGTGTGAAGCAGACAGTGAGAAGCCTATTCAGTGGAAACCCCAGAAATCTGGAAAAGCCAGAAATGTGGATCATCTAAGGGAAACTGCAAAGAGGGAACAAGGCCGGCCTAAGAGAGAAGTCATAGGAGCTACCAGCAGAAGTGCCATAGGGGCAGAGCCATGTAAGGCCTTTGGAGCTCACAACTCATCACACATTGCTTGGGATGTCCCACATGGAACTGCAGGACTTAATGCTTGTTCTGCTGGGTTTTGGACATGTGTTGGTCCCACTGCTTGGTATCCTGATGTGTGTACCTTTTGGAATGGTAATGTTTATCTTGTGCCTTTGAATGTTGGGTGTGTTCACTTTTCATTTGCACAGGAGCTCACATCTAAGAGTTTGCCTTGGATCTTGGAGGAGACTTGGGATTTGGGCTTTTCAGTAATACTGAAACTGTTGGGACTCTGGCAACTCTTAGAGATGGACTAAAATGTCTTTTGCACAAAGGGATGTGCATGAGACTTTGGGGGTCCAGGGGTGGAATGTTATGGCTTATGTCTAGTTGTCCCCTCAAAGCCTCATGCAGTCATGGGGTGGGGACTTCTAGAATTTGTGATTAACTCATGATCCACTGGGATTATGTGTGATCCAAGGCTGGGATTATGGGATTTAGTACTGCTGGGATTATGGGTGTGAGTACTTCCCCTAGCCTGGGGCAGAGAGCCTGAATGTAATATAAGACACAGAGAGACAGACTTTCTGTAGCCATTGTTCCTTGTTGTTGTTGTTCCTGCTGTTCAGCTGCCATGAAGTGCTGCTCTCTGCCATGTGCCGCTCTGCCTGGACTCAGCTGAATATGGACAGAAACCTCCAGTAACTGTGAGCTAAATAAACCTTTCCTTCCTTCGTTTTGGGTGTCGAGTATTTATCCCAGCAATGAGAGAAGAGTAACTAAGACAGACCCTGTAAACCCTGTACTAAATAAAAAAAAAAAAAAAAAGAGGAGAATTGAAAAATGATGGAAACATTGAATGAATATAGGAAAGAATTAGAATGCATAAAAATAATAATTCCAGAAAGCTGGCAAAACCACTTGAATGAAACTGAAGATAGAATTTCAGACCCTGAAGACAGCATTGTAGCTAGTGATTATGAAAGGAAAGACCCCTTAAAAATAACAAGGAACAAAGAAATAACAATTCAGCAGCTGCAAGATGATGAATGGAAATACAAGGTAAGACTGACAGGTGTCAACGAAACAGCACGAGTCAACAAAAATGACATAAAAAGACTATTTACAAAAGTAGTATGGGAATGAATCTGACATACAGCTAACTGAGGAATAGAGAACCCCAGCTAGCCAAAATCAAATAAATTTTCACCAGAAAACACAATAATCAAGATTCCAGAAATTGAGCAAAAGAACAGAATATTAAAAGCTGTTAGAGAAAAGAAACAAATCATCTATAAAGGAAAGCCCATCAGAATCAGCAGATTTTTCAACATAAACCATCAGATCAAGAACTTAGAAAAAAAAAAAGATAAAAAATAAAATTAGAAAAAGAGAGGAACTTAGAATAAAGTATTTCAGGTCCTAAAAGAAAACAAATTCCAGCCCACACTGATGTAACATGCAAAATCATCTATCAAATTTAGTGGAGAGATAAGATACTTTTATGGTGAAGAACAACTGAAGAAATTCATGACCACTAAACGAACCCTACAACGCGTACTGACAGGTATTTTACAAACAGACAAAAATGGTCACAACTTCCAAGAGCAACAGAAAGGAAGCACCAAGCAGAGCAAATAATTAAACAGAAGAGAAAAGTAGGGAACCAACAGCAGGAAAATAACATGACAAAGATAAGCCAATACATATCAGCTATAACCATCAATGTAAATGGATGCAATTCACCAATCAAAAGGAACAGACTGGCAGAATGGATCAAGAAACAAAATCCAGTAATATGCTGCATACAAGAAACACATTTAACTCAAAAGGAAATTCATAGACTGAAAGTCAAAGGATGGAAAATGATATTCCATGTGACAAGAACCCCACAAAAAATAGGGATAGCTATTCTGGTTGCTGACAATGTCAATTTCAAACCAAGAATGACTAACAGATATAAAGAAGGTCACTACAGGGGCTGGAGAGATGGTTCAGTAGTCTAAAGCACCTACTTAGAACAAGCTTGGCAAAGCACAGGGACCGCGGTTCAATCCCCCAGCACCACATGCCAGCCAGCCCCGCCCCCCGGTGGGCTGGGCTGAGCTGGCCAATCACAAAAATAAATAAATTAATTAAAAAAAAAAAGAAGAAGGTCACTACATACTTGTTATGGGAAAACTTTAAGAGGAAGCAATAATAATCACAAATATATATGCAACCGATGTAGCAGAACCAAAGTAAGATAAATTTTAACAGACATAAAAAATCAAATAAGCAATAAAATAATTGTAATAGATTTTAACACTTCACTGTCACAAAGAGATAAATCAACTAAGCAAAAACTCAGCAAAGAAACAACAGAACCAAACCATACTTGGAAGAAACAGACTAAACCTATACAGAGTATTCCACCCAACATCAGAATACATATTCTTCTCAGTTACATATGAGACATTCTCCGAAGTATACAATACACTAGCACACAGAACATACTTAAGTAAATCCAAAGGAACTGAAATCATTCCATGCATGTTATCT